ATGGGAGTTCTTTCTAAGCTTTCTTTGATCTAATGATGTCTTCAGTTCTTTAATTGAAATGTGCATTGCTAACAGCAGAGCTATCTCAGCCGATAGGCTGCTTGTTTGGAAAATGTGGTATCTTGGACAGGATTCATCATTTTGTCAATACTAGACCAGCTAATTATTCACTCTAAATTATTAACTATACTTTTGGTGCACATTACCCCTAATTCCAACGGGGACTATGTCATTAACAATGACTTGTTCCATGGGATTGCATTGTTCCAGTATTCAGTGATATGATCGATACTAAATGATTATTTATTTCATCGATAATGACTTATTAGCACAATGATTCAGCAAATTGCCTAAATGCCAGATTTTTCTCGCCATAAGTCTTTTAATATTGTTGCAAAAAATAGATCAAATGTTGTGAAAAATATTGAGCACTTGAGCAGCAGAATTAAGAGGAGAAATGTTCGTCATGAATACGTTATCTTATATGTATTATATACATTATATGAATCCTATGCAGTCTGATTGGTCAACTCCCAGGGTTCAAGCAAGCATGTAATATTAATTGGGAGTGATTTGCCAGAAAGGGTGATTAAGTTTGTTGGCTTAAGTGTATAAGGGTATGTAGTTGACATGGTCTTGTTGGTTCACTGTTTTACAGACTTATGTGACAAGTGCTGATAAGAATTTTGTAGCTGCTACAATCCAGGCTATTGGACGATGTGCGAGCAATATCGCTGAAGTCACTGATACGTGCCTCAATGGACTGATGGGACTCATGTCAAACAGAGATGGTGAGTGTCGAGCACTCATATAATTCATTTCACAATGGAATACCCGATGCATGCGTTAACATAAATTGCAGTGGTATTTCTATCATCAAAATAAGTAATATTTTTAGTGTTATGTAAAAAAAAAATGCATTTCTAATAGATCAAATTAGTCCATTTAGCCCAAAAATTAAGAAAGAAATGAAACTGCAACATGTTACGCAAGGATTGTTGGGGAAAATGTATAGTATTCATCCAAATGAATTTAATTTCCTGTTCAATTCAGGTCTTGATCAATATTTCTGAAAATGTAGGAAAAAATTGCTCTCGTTTATTTTGTGAAAGGTGACAAAAGTTGAATGTAGTCTTAATGTCTGTGCAATATATTGCTCTTCACAGAATCTGTTGTTGGTGAGAGTGTCGTCGTGATGAAAAAATTACTACAGATGAATCCCACAGAACACAAAGAAATTATCCGACATTTAGCACGGTTAACTGAGTCTATTTCTGTGAGTAGCTATCATTTACTGAAACAGTTAATCATCTGAAATATCTTTTGTAAATTGAACACCTAAAAACTGAACTCTGTCTTATTGTTGTTTTTTTTAAATTTCGTTATTTGTTAAATTACTTAAAAGCCTTCATAATGTACCGGGGGTATAGTGGTAAAGTGAGCCATGAACTAAAATCAGTAGTTACAGTACTAGTATTCATTGGAATCTGACTGATTTATTTTTTAACTGGACAACCTGAAAATCTGGCATGCCTTGCAGTTTTGATTCCTGCTTCATAGAACATAGAAAGTATGAAATGTTCAATGTTTTAAGTTAGCAATAGATGTTGTCATGAAAACAGATGATGTAAATTTAGAGGAATGGCACAGATACAGGAAGACATAAAAGGCGTCTTTTGAATAGTATATGGCTGAAAATCTTGCATGCGATTTGATGGTGATATTCTTGCAAAAAGGTTCAGACCCAAAAATCTTAGTATAAGTAGAATTTTGTTTATTTCATTCATCAAAGGCTGCAAACATTTCTCAGTAAAAAAATATTCCATCCCAAATTTGATGTATATCATCCTCGTTCAACTAAATCACTGAACTGGGCGAGTTTGGAAAATGACAACTCCGGTAATTATTACAAAGTACATTGAAATCCATTTCATCATTAAGTAGTTACATTATAACATTGTAAATTAAGTTACAGTAGCATAATATAAATATCTACACCATACAGTAAAAAATATTCTTTTCATTTCACCTGCATACATTCATGCCACTGTCATAGTAGACTTAACCACGTTATAATATTGTTCGTAGGTGCCGATGGCCCGTGCTAGTATTTTATGGTTGATTGGTGAATATTCAGATAGAGTACCCAAAATAGCACCTGATGTGCTCCGTAAAATGGCAAAAACATTTATTACTGAAGAAGATATTGTTAAATTACAAATTTTGAATCTAGGAGCTAAACTCTACTTAACCAATTCTAAGCAGGTGAGTATATTTAAAATTTGTTTGTGAATGAAGGGCAATTTATATTGGGGGGGGGGTTTACGTCATCGTCGTCATCATTGTTAACTTTTTAGTGTGATTTGCTAATTCATCCCCTGCCTGTCCCATGTTAAGCTCTTTTCGCAAGTCGTGACAACCAAATGTCTCACTGAAACAAACCATATTTCTCTTTCAGACCAAACTTTTGTGTCAATACGTACTGAACCTTGCAAAGTATGATCAGAACTATGATATTCGGGACCGAGCTAGATTTCTCCGACAGTTATTATTTCCAAGTGAGAAAGGAGGAGCCCTTAACAAGCACGCAAAGAAGATGTTCCTGGCCTCCAAACCGGCCCCCGTGTTAGAATCACAGTTCAAAGGTACATAGTTGCTTTCAACCTGGTGTTTGTGACTCCACTAATAAGTATGATACTAGTTATCTCTTTACCCATTAAGATTTATGCAAAATGTCACATACTAATCAACGTAATGAGTGTCTCAATAAAAAAAATAATCTATGTTCATTGACTTGGTTTCTGTTTCAGATCGTGATCAGTTCCAGTTAGGTTCCTTGTCTCATATTATCAACTCAAAAACCATTGGGTATCACGAACTGCCAGAATTTCCAGAAGAGGCGCCAGACCCGACAGTACGAAATGTAGAGGTAAGACACATCCCCAGTCTTGGATATACTGAGTGATTTCTATAGTTGTTGCTTAAATACTGTTACAAATGACTGTTTAATGTACAAGAATGGTACAAAGTGTGGCTAAAACAAAATCAAATAAAAATATTTCTAAGAAAACCAATTGTGATGTCATGTAATGTCCTACACATGTTTTATTATGACTCGATTAGATGCCTGCCCCATGGGATGAACCAATGTCCACTGGTAAGATATTCAAGAAAATGAAACCTAGGAAATTCTACTCTAGTGATGAGGCTGAAGAAAGCAATTCAGGTAAAGAATATGGTTTCTAAGTTTAAAAAAGTGATTTGTCTAGTTATTAAAATCAAATGATAATAAGATCTAACTGTTTGACTATTCATAATATGTTCATTTCATTAGTACTTGTATATATATTTTTTAAAACTCTATGCAAAAATTGTTCTGAAAATTAAAGCACTACAGTCGTCTTACTTCCTTGTGTTTGATATGGTTCTCTTGAGATGTATATAATAAGTGTAAAACACAAAATTTGAAACTGCGCTGTTTGACTGTCGCACTTTAAGAATGAAATGATAGATACTTTGTCTTTAAATTAACAGAAAGTGGATCAGACAGCAGTGACTCCTCAACGACCTCCTCGGATTCCGACAGCGATTCTGACAGCTCCAGTGATGAAGAGAGTGAAGAGGAAGAGAAAAGGAAAGTCAGAAAGAAGAAGAGAGTTGTGACGAAGTTAGACGAGGATGAGAGCATTGAGAGTAACAGCGACTCATCGTCTTCTTCATCTTCATCATCGTCTAGTGATAGTGATTCGAGTGAGGAGAGTAGCGAAGAGAGTGACTCAGATGAGAATGAAAAAATTAAACTCCAGCCTAAAACGGTAAATAAAGAAAATTTCTTGAAAAGTACTATTTACTGACCTGTAGGTCAAAGGTTATACTGATTTTTTGTTAATGATGAAACCCAACAAGGACTAAATCCGCACCAACTCTTGCTGATGATGCTATGCAATGAAATGTCTACCATCATCTACCTTCAAAATTCACCAGAAATGATTACTCATGAAATAAAGGCAGTTTGCTGATTATTAAAAAGAAATAAATTCAGTTAAATGTTATGAATTTATTATAAATATGATGGGAAAATCATTGTTTTATGATCATGTCTTCTGTTATTTTTCAGAAAACCAAGCCAGTAGCATCACCAAAGAGAGAAGGAAAGAAACACAAATCATCCGACAAAACACAACAATCACAAGTGCAGCTTTTAGACTTTGATGATAGTAAGTCCTTTTGTTAATTATTTCAAATTTGGTAGAAACTGGTCACAGAGAAGTTGTTTGAAGTAAATTATTGAGGTGTAGGGAAATTGGCATGGCATTGTTTTGTTACTTTGCTTTGGAAAACAGGTACTTGGAGATTCACAAATACATAGTATGTCATGTCATACATATGCATGTATATACACATGTATGATTAGGTTCAGCAATGTTGAATGATGGGCATTTTAATGCTAAAAATCATTAACATTTTTGCTATTCTGAAATGGGATCTCATGCCTGCATAGATAGGTTCATTTCGATCCTTGTACACACCAACAGGTTTGTCAGAGCTTATTGGCCACATATCATGGCATTTATCTCTTGTGAATATACATTTATTATGCAACATCTATACAAATAAGCTTTTTTATAATCTGACAGTGCAAACACTGGGTCTTACCGCTGTGTCATGTTTTTAATGTGAAGCACTGATTTGTACATCTCTTTGTGTGTAGTTGGTTCACCCCCTAGTACTGTAACTAATCATATACAAGACCAGAGTGTATTGGTTCCAGTGTTATCATCAGATCTGCAGGGTTTATCACTGAACAATGTGGGCAATATTTCTGTAAGTACTTTGCATCTTTATGAATTTTTGATGACTTGTAGTTGATGGTTTGTGCAGACATGGAGTCTGTTTTTTTGTAATAATGTCAGCATGCCTGTCAGATAACATGTGTAAATGGGATCTCATGTCATGTGTGGTATCACTGTCTGCCTAACTGACTGACTGGATGTGTCGTTTGTGAATGCATCACGTGATCAACCGTGACTGCCAAAAATACACAAATTTTCCAGATACTGATTTATGCTAATTTGACAGATGTCTAAGCATGCCAGGAAAATCTTATTTGTAGTTTCAGCTGCGATTGGTTTTAATAAAAGTGAAAATTATTATCCCTATTAGTGATATTGAAAATAAAATTCAGTTGGCATAGTTATGGGTAATGTGAGTAATTTGGTCTGAAATTATGTTGCATGATTTGTTGACTCCCGTGTGCGAAGCACAAAAGGGAGTCTTTGCAGTTACCCTGTCTGTATGTCTGTATGTCTGTATGTATGTATGCATGTATGTATGTATGTCACTTTTTTTGTTCCACCGTTATCTCAAGAACCACTAATCAAATTTTGGTGAAACTTGGTAAATAGATACTCTGGGATAATGCGCAGAGTTGATTAGGTTTTTGTAAAAATTTATGAATATTAATTACCTAATTTGCATGATAATTAGCTGATTTTTAGCTGTTTCAAGACTGTTCCACTGATATCTGAAGAACCATTAATTGGATTTTGATGAAATTTGGCACATGGATGCTCTGAACTAGTGCACAGATTTGATTAGTTTTGGGTAAAAATCTATGAATATTAATTACCTAATTTGCATGATAATTAACTGATTTTAAGCTGTTCCACTGATTTTGAAGAACCACTCATTGGATTTCAATGAAACTTGGCACATGGATGCTCTGAACTAATGCGCAGATTTGATTATTTTGGGTAAAAATCTGTTAATATTATTAATTACCTAATTTACATAATGATTAATCAATTTTCGGTTTTTCCACTGATATCTCAAGTACTAATCATAACATTTCAATAAAACTTGGTACATAGGTGTCATATGACACTGCACAGACCTGATAGTTTTTAGGGTAATATCAGTACATATTAAGTACCTAATTTGCATAATTAATTAATTTTCAGCTTTT